GCCCCTTGTCCTGGCGCTGGGCACCACTGGGAAGAGTCTGGCTCCGTCCTCGTGACCCCCACCCTTGAGATATTTGTAGGTGTTGATGAGACCCCCTCTCAGCCTTCTCTTCTCCAGGCTGAACAAGCCCAGCTCCCCCAGCCTTTCCTTCTAGGGGAGATGATCCAGTCCCCCATCATCCTTGTTGCCCTCCTCTGGATTCTCTCTAAGAGGCCCTCATCCTTCTTGAACCGGGGAGCCCAGAACTGGACACAGTGCTCCAATTTAATGAACAGTCACTGGTAGATGCACCATCTGTGCGGAGTTTCGAGCTCCAACAACACATTCATCCAAACCCAAAGACATGAAGGGGCTTAGGTAAAGTGATTCCTCCTTTTACGACCGATTCTCATTCTATTGGACAAGAACCACCAAGCCCCATTAGGAACAAGTGAGAGCTGAAGCTAGAGAATTGCGGATGTGAAGAGGCAGAGGCACGTTCGCAAGGAAACACAACGGGCGCTTGTGCGCGTTGGTTAACGAAGGGCTGGCCCAAGCGGCCACTACGCAGCAGCCCAGGGTCGCTCGCTGACTTCCACGGTGATGGCAGAACACAGACCCTCTTGTTCCAAAGACACAAAGGCTCCTACTCCTTGAACTGCAGGAAATTCTTGGTCAGCAGCGTACGGCCACTGACACATACCTACAGGCTCAAGCCTGCGTAGGGCAATATTTCAAATTCTTTAGAAACAATGGCATCGCACTGATACTGTTCTTTCTGTAATCGCACCCAAGTGCATTATGGAAACCAATTCAGTTAAAGCTTTTTTTTTTTTTTTTTTCCTTAAACAATAAAAGGTCAGACTTCAAGCCAGATCAGACTTCAAGCAGCCACTGCAGTTTTTGTTGGTTTAGATAAAGGCCCTGAAGGATGACCACTCAATGGAAATCTAGAGGTGAAAGGTTTGGAGCTCTTAACCCTTTGTGCGGGGTCATGGTTGAATGAATTATGGTTATTGAAGAAAAACAACAAAACATCTTTATAGTTAAGTGAAAGAGTCTTGCTGAAAAAGTTCAGGCTTCCTTTCAGGTAGGACTCCCACACCAACGCTATTTCCAGGATATGCCGTCTTACCCCCACCCGGCTCACGGATCTGCACACAACTGGCCACGTAGCCCTCGCTGAGCTTCAACCAGGGAAGTAAGTCACTTCCAGAAGGTTGGTCTTGGCACTGGCCAGGCTCTTTGAAGGAAGAAATGGGGCTCTTGAGTATCTTTTCAACCGTGTCCTCCCTTGCTTTCAACGTGAAAGTGAAATGATGGCTTTCAAGTCAGTCAATCTCAAAAAAAAAAAAAATTTGGGGCTATGAACATTTCATCCTTTTCTTCCCAAAATTTCATTTAGCATAAGGAAGAAAAACAATGTTTAAAATTTTCAGCAAGCTGCTTCATGATGCTACTAATCATAGGATCTATAATCATAGAATCACTGAGGTTGGAAGAGACCTTCAAGTTCATCAGGTCCACCTGTGAAACATCAAGTTCAAGTATGAAATGCAAGAATGAAGACTACGGTCAGAAAACAGCTACAGAGCATCCAATAACCTGGGGAATAAGCAAGCAAAGGTTGGAGAGAACACACCAAAAGAAAAATGCGACTCCCGTTCCTCGCAGCAGGCATGCCGGGGCAGGCTGAATCAGACTGCAGATGTCACAAGTCCTCCATGTTTGTGGTATCATATTTGGGTCTGCACCAACGCCAGCACAACAAGGTTTACCCATCAAGAACCTGAAGCTTTACGTCATTGGCCTTTAGGAAAACCTCTCTTTTCAACCTCATTCCAAACGCTCATCAGCAGTAGATTACGGTCCATAAACCAAACTACCAGCTCACAATTTCACATGTTCACTTCAGATTAAACATTCCTGTTGCTATTTTAGCATCAGGAACACGAGTGGCCTTTTAGCAGCATTTCCCCCTGACAGCTGTCCAAATGGCAAGTCATTGCTATCCTCCCCCTCTAATGGAAACTATTACCCAAGCGCTTTATAGAGAGGCTCTTGAACATTCAGCATCCCCCCCTCTGCGTGTTCCAAGCCCAGTGGCCATCTACAGCAACATCAGACCACATGGAAAGATGTATGGCCACGATCATGGGTTTGTAGCCAAGAGCAAGCTTATAAGCGGTACTTAGACAGCCCAGAAATCATTCAGTCCTTGTTCCACTGAAATATTCACAGAATCATAGAATCATAGAATGTTTTGGGTTGGAAGGGACCCCTAGAGGTCATCTAGTCCAACCCCCAATATTCAGCCGCCTTTCCTCTAGACCTGAACAGCAGCGCTTCAGCTAACGGAGCAAACACCCCCAAAGCCGCCGTGTGAGTGGGGTTAGGGAAGCAGATAAGAATCCTTAAACCCGAATCAAGGTCAATCCCACCCCGATCACCCTCCAGCCCATGAATATTCCACCACAAGCAACTGATAGACTCCCATTGTGCTTTTTTTTGGCCCACATTAATGTGGTAGTGCCTTATGAAACAGTTACTATAGAATAGCATCGACAAGGTCTCTAATTTTAGATCTACATAGGAACGAGGACACTAAAGCAATCTAGTTTCTGGGGAAAAATAATACTGAGGTTATGTGGACTTATCAGCAGGACATTTCCCTGACTATATTTAACTTCATAAGGAATGCAGAAACTATGTATAAAAAAAAAAAATACATCAGCATAACTAATAAAAGCCATTTTGCATTTCTGTAGCCAGTACAGAACCGGTACCTCGGGCACGTAAAAGCGCCTGGCAAATAACCGGCTGCCCTAGCCCAAAGCACTGCGCCGGCTGGGGGGAGCCTTCAGCAGCCCAGGTGGGGCCACAGGACACCCCTAGAATGGGACCAGAACCAGCTCCTCCGCCTTCCATCTCCAGCATCAGAGCAGCCAAACCCTACTACTTCCCAGATTCCCAGTTGGAACGAGGGCTTGCAGCGCTAACAAAGACAAAGGGAAAACAAGAATCCTGCAGAGATGCTGCCCAAGGGCAGAAAGCAAACCCTGAGGCGTATTCGTGTGTTGACCAGCTTCGAGCGGCAGATGATTCCTACACCATCTTCATTCACACGGAACGAAGTTCGCCCCGCACAGGAAGCGCTCAAGAATCTTCATCAATCAAAGCATAGATTAATACATTAATGCCTTAATACACTGTGCAAATCGGATATTCACACAGCACGAGGAATACGAGTCCTTGCATTAACTTTGAAGATGGAAGGGCAAAAACTGAGGAACAACTGAGGTTTCAGGAGGCAGCCATTTACGAATGTATTAAATAATCCTTCAGCTGCCAGACAGCTGCCAAGGTCCTCGTGTTTGTTAAATAGCAGAGGGAGCGACAGCAGCAATGCCGTCACACCAACCTGCATGACTCCGAACTTCTATCTCTGCAAGAGCCTCAGAGGACAGTCGAGTCCTCCCCGAAGAATGCCAGGTTGAGTATTTTGCTCAGCAGAAAGGAGCAGATGACAGCACGGTCAGTCCCATGGCGAAAGCTGGACTGCAGATGAGGAAAAGAGTTTTCCTGTAGCTAGACTGGGTTCAGGATTAGGCCCCTCCCTCCCCGAAGGACCTGGGGGGGCTGGAGCGTGTCCAGAGAAGGGCAGCGGAGCT